GGGGGCTGAGCTGGTCAGCAGGAGAAGCTCTCGGCCCAGCAGGAGCTGGACCTGCCCCCTCTTTCCTCTTTTTATATGTGTTCTTGCCCTAGGGTTTAGTTATTTGTCTTTCTGATTTTCAAGATTCGATCCAGCTTGCCGTCGGTAAGTGTTTTCCCTTTTATAGTTGTATCCAAAGGCAAGAAGGTGCTCCGGCTGTAACTCGTCCAAGGTGGTGATCTTCTCCAAGAATTCGAATGATGCTCCGGCTGTAACTCGCTCCCCATCAAACTCCGACCTACTGTCCAACCTCCCTTCAGCACCTTCACCTTCGCCCTAGGGTATCCCTCTATATTTGTTGTTTTTATTTCTTGTTTTGAAGGTCATCTTGGTAAACTATTTGAGTTTCTGCAGTAATACTTGTATTTTTATTGTGGTTTGGGTTAACTCCGTATCAAAGTTAGCCTAACCCTAGTCCTATCCTAAGAATTTCTAGCATCTGCCCTTACCTAAGCCACATCCACCAAAAACTTTCTTTCCCATTGCAAATCATAGCCAAACTTTGACCTAAACCTAATTACCCTTGTTGATTTTCAAAATCAAAACCCTAAATCAATTTTTTCACCCTTTTACCTCCCAACTCTAACCCTAGCCATGCCATTATGGAGGTACATGCCTGAGCCAACCTAGGAAAAAATAGAGTGAGAGATCCGTCGACATTAGCGGAGGCCTGTGAACATTAAAGATGAAACCCAATAGGGATTTACCCTCGATGTTGACAACAAAAGTAGAAGGGGTGAAAGAGACGAAAATTTCAACCACTTCCATATGAAGCATTTCAATGATGATGAAGAAAGACAACAACGCTTTGGAATCTAGTACCATAGGAGGCCGAGAGAAGATACTACATATGGAGAGCAAGGGAATCTCAAGATGAAGCGAGAGATATAGTGCCAACTCGTACCAGCTTACTACAGACAGATTGTTCAGACCTTAACCTTAGAAGTGGAGAGACCACATTGGTCGAGCAACCAGCCCATCTAACAGGCATAATTAAGCCTATGAGAAGAACACCCAAGACGACCCCATCAGAAAAAAACTGATTCAGAGTGGAAAACATGTGGAACCAATCCACATCCCTACATCTGTCACAACCAGGAAGTGTTGCAAGTTCCACAAAATTGGGCATATTGAATCAGACTGCACAACCATAGGAGTGATTTATTTCACTGAGCAGCACATTCTTGAAAAATTGAATAATGACACAGTAAATATTGAAGACGGTGAGGACACAAAAGAGGGAGACTAGCTTCTAGTTGAGAAGGAAGAGATGCACATAGTTCCGGCTAAGCCCGTGGGAGAGACTCCAACCAACTTCGCGGTGAGTATCTAAGGCAGCCTTGAGTTCGAGGAATTGACATCAGTGGCAAGACAAACCCATATAAGAAAAATTCAGACCATTTGGATCTATAGAATCATTCCTAAGTTGTCCCTACTGAGATAGGTTCAACATATCAGAAATGGGGCCATTTTGTGCCATGTCGGAAAGTTTATATGGAATTATTCAGATATTAGATTCAGTTCGGTATTGTACCCACCATGAGATGTCCGAAAATGATGAATGAACCACAGCCTTGAAATTTGTCTTTGAACCTTCAACTAAGAAAGAATTAGAATCCAGGCCCTATCAGTGAAGAAGATGCCTAAGTGGTTCTAGTGAGAGTGGTGCAGTCTGTCACAAATTTCATCCTAGAGTTGATTTCTCCTCACATATTGTTTACCAGCTACACTCCACCGAGTACAAGGAGTGGAATGAGGTTTCATACTTAAGAACTCAAGAGTTAAACTGCAAAATCCTACATCTACATACAACTCTTGCTCATGACGTTCCGAGAGATATGCATAATTATTCTATTAAGACATGTTGTGGAATGACAACACCAACATCATCAACCTACTAGGGGACTACAATATCTCTGCTACCTTCAACGCGACAGACTTAACTCCGTGTTACAATAAGTCAGAAGCTTCGAAGAATGAAGTCGAAGCTCCCCCAACCACATAAGACTAATGCGGGGGCTTGGGGGCTGAATTTAGGGTTGTCAAAATGGTTCGTTGGTCGCAAATAGCTCGTGTTCGACTTGTTAAGTAGTTCGTATTTGATTTGTTCGCTAAGCAAACAAGCCGAACACAAATAATTTTTTTGCACTCGATATATAATCAAGCCAAACACGAACAAAGATTTGTCCGTTCGTGTTCATCTCACTTTGGCTTGAAATAATTAAATTGACTACAAGGCTACAAAGATTTATAATCAATTAAATTATTAATTTTAAAAATAGAACAAACAATATTAAATTCTATTTAAATGAATATTTTAATAAAAATGAACAAACGATTAAATTCCATTTTAATATTATTAATTTAAATCTCGCCTCTACCCTTCACATTCTACAGTTGCATGACTAGGGCTATCAAAGCGCATCATTGTTCACAAACAACGCTTGTTCGACTCGCTAAGAAAATAAGCTAAATACAAACAAATTTTTTTGCGTTTGATATATAAACGAGCCGAACATGAACAATAGTATTTCGTAACGAGCTAAATATGAGCCGGGCCTAGGCTCGTTTACAGCCCTAGCTGAACTGGCCCCAAACGGCTCAACAAGAGAAGCTCTCGGTACAGCAGGAGGCTTGACCAGCCCCCTCCTCACTCTTGTCACTGGGCGAGAATTATTTCCCCCTCTTCTATTTTCCGGCCTATATATACATTGTAAATATGTGAGTTGTTGTCCTAAGGTTTAGTTTTTTATCTTTCTGTTTTTCAAAATTATGTCCAACCTGTCATCGGCGGGTGTTTTCCCTTCTAGGGCTGCATCCGAAGGCGAGAAAGTGCATCAGTTGTAACTCGTCTAAGATGGTAATCTTCTCCAAGGGTTCAAGGGGTGCTCCAACTATAACTCGCTCCCGCGAGAATAGTTATCTTTCCATTTTCATCCATACACACCGCCCCTCTCCATGCAGTCCTACATAGCTGCTGCCACCCTCCAGCAGCCCAGATACCTGCTGTCGCCCTCCCAAATTCCTGCCGACCTCCATGTTGGCCGCTAGTCATCCTCCCACCACCCAGCTGTGCTGCTAACCACAGCCCCAGCTCCCCTGACGGCAACCTCACATTCCCTCTCTTCTCTGTTCTCTATCGTCCACCTCCCAGCACTCCTCCCACCCACTGGTTCCCCTCCGCCTGCCTGTCTCTTCCTTTCGCACCTGCTGCCAGGAGGAAGCCTGATTATGGATTACATTTTTCTGGTAGTTTGGACAGCCATCACCTGCCGTCCTCACAGCCCGTCTCTTCCTTGTCCACATGCAGGCCGTGGATTGCATTTTTTCTGGCTGTTTGAACAGCCACAAGCTTTCACCTCTGCCTCCTGACTGCTGACAATCCCCCACTTCCACCCTCCTGCCTTAACAGCAACCTCCCCATCCAACCCCGACCTGCAGTCCAGCTGCCCTTCACCACCTTTCCCTTCGCCCTCAGCTGTCCTTTTATATTTGTTATCTTTTTTCTTGTTTTGAAGAGTTGTAGTTGTAACCTACTCAAATTTCAGCAATAATATTTGTATTTTCATTGTAGTTTCGGTTAACTCCGTTATCACTAACATACTACACAACACCTTTAAGATAATAGGAAATTTACATACCACACGAATCTTATGCATTTACATATCCAAAGCCTAAAATTTGATATTTATATTTATAACACCTTGGTATTAAAAGTCTATGCATGAAAATATATATCTCATTTTTTAAAAGTTAATGATAGTGATATTTTTTATTTGATATAAAAGATTTGAGGGTTATGTATGCAAATATGAATGTTTAGATGGTAATATGTAAATATTAAAATTATGTGGTATGTATGTAAATGCCCCTAAAATAATTTTGCTGATATATTCTCAATTATCTAGAATGCTCAAAAAATTTGAAAAGTTCTACTAGAAATGGACATTAATGATAGTCATAGAAAAGGTTGATTTAATCAACTCGAAGGAAAACATTATATAGCCTAAGTGAGAAAAGTCATACGTATACAGATTTTTCATGGTATTTGCTCAATGTATTCAATTTGGCCAACACTAACTTTAATCTTGCCACCATGAAACTACGCCCAAACCATCTCCACGCATACCTGCCTGTAAATAGAAATGGAAAAAAAAAAATGCAAATAGGTCAGAGCAGTTAAAGTTAAACTTAATAAAATAAATTTTATGTAGTTATGTGAGTAATAAAAATAAGCTTCTAGTTTGGTTTGCCAATCTAGAAATGTGTGAGGCCTTATGTGTCACATAAGTAAGCACGTCACAAAAATCATGGTTAATATGTCTATATAATCATATTTGTCCCAATATGGATCAATGATAATAATGATAAAATAAATAAATGAGAACACAAAAAATGAAACAAAGTAATCAAGGCAACAATCATTTCTAAATGTAGGACTTCTGTTGTCAAAGAAAGGAGCAATTCCTGTTACTTGAACTAGAGTCAACCAGCTATCAACCAATGCCAAGTTAACTAAATCCGAGATAATGGAAGAGGGTCATAAGTAAAAGATTAGTTAAGAATAGAGGAGAAGATGATGAAAAATTAGGAAAATAATGTTCGAGAACTTGTATTTCTTTTTCATTGCACAAAGTTACAGTAGTAAGAGGTACATATAAGCTATGTAAAGTTGTTAGAAGACTAATAGAAATGATTCGTTTTGCTTGAATGGCTGGGATTGTATGGGTTGTTTGCTGGTGACCGTTTGATCTGCTGGCATGAGTAGTGGCAGCTCATGTACATGTCATTTGCAAAGTTTGTTACAGCAATTATTACAGCCCTCAAATTGACAAATATGGAGTAAATTGTCCATTTATCTCGTAGATTTTAAAACCAATTAGAAGAGTAGAGAGTTTTGTGAATATGTCAGCTGTTCAATCTTGAGAGTTCATGTGTTGTACTTGATTTCATTGGAAAGTGTGTTTTCATGAATAAATTAGTATTCAATCTCGGTGTTTTTGTGAGAATGAAAGATTGAGTTGTTGGTTGAGATATTGGCACTAGGTTGAGTGAGTGATCCAAAATCATGTAGAAGACCTGAGCCAAAAGACATTTGCTGCAGCAGAATGAGCTTGATAATTAGCTTTAGTAGAGGATCAAGCTATGGCAGGTTACCGAAGTAAGGGCAGTAATCAGTTGTTGATTTTCGATCCTAAGTGACATTGGCCTAATCAGAGTCCAATTAAAATTGTAGAACAAGTTTTACCTTGTTGAATGAGTCATTTTAGTAGCTGTGAGAGTTGAGAAAGTTGTGCATATACTAGTGGAGAAGTTTTACAGTGAAGCAGAAGATAGGCCTAGTGTTTAAGTGAGCTGGGAAGATGGAGAAACACAATCGGATCTACTAAGGCTAAGTTGCTGTCATCGTTGAATGAAGCTTTAGAGGGTAGCGATTTAACTGGTTTGCATATTTGCCTTGGCTAAGAAAGCAGCCTAAGGGTGTATTATTTGTCTGGATGTCGGAAAATAAAAGAGATTGGGGATCTTCATGTTAAATTTGTTGCGCAGAATTCAATCGAGGTGTTTGTCATTGCTAGTTAGAGCTTAGAAGTAGGTCCATTGACAAATATGAGTAGGTGCATGCAAATATTGTTGTGGTGATGGGTGAGAAGGGAAAATTGTCTGAATTAATTTAAAAGCCCTGCAATAGAAGATGCCCAAAAAAGGTCAATTCATTTGCAAGGAGCCAGCTTTAGGCCACAAATAACGTTGTGGTAAAATAAATATGATGTGGAAATTATGGACAGGAGAAACCTGGAGATTGTCCCATATAAACAGTCTCATTTAAATGAAGTTCGAGAAATGCATTAGAGAACCAATTTTAAGACATCACAGTTGCGAGTAGAGCAAAAGTGAGGAAAATTCGGTTGGAGGACATTTTATCAATAGAGTTAAACATTTTAGCATAGTTTATTTCAAGCTCTTGTTCAAGTCCTTGAGCCACAAGTCGAGTTTTTCTGCCAAGATTTTGAACTATCTCAGTGAAGCTTAATTTTAAATGTCCACAGACAACCAAGAATGGTGAGGCGGTGGGGCAATAAGCATCCATGTATCTTATGGTTAAAGGGAATTGAACTCTGGGGACATTGCTTGGTGCTAGTAGGTGGGAATTGCTTCAGAGTAGCATGGAGTCTAATGAAAGTATTGAAATTATAGAATTGATTATGTTTTCGTTATTAGCTTTTACTTAGTTCCTTTCCTTGAGTTGCCTTTTTTTATGTACTTCCTATTCCATCTATTTCCAATTTATGGCTTTCCTAATTTATGAGTCTTGTAATATGTATATAAACCTCTTTTCCCTATCAATGGAAATAATCCAGCTCAATTCCCAAATCTTTCTTGCTATCAGAGCCAAGGATCATACCCTAGCAGTTAGAACTTCCTGCAGCATTTCTTCTGCCGCCAGCCCCTGTTTCTCAGCGGATTCCAACCAGCTGGCCAGCAAACCAAACTCTCCTGCAGGCCAGATTTGCTGCGGATTCTCCCAAATCTGTCGTTGTTTAGCCTCCCCTGTCATGCTTCCTCCCAGATCTGTCGTTGTTCCTCCCAGATCTACCGTTGTTCCTCCCAAATTTGTAGTCATTCAGCCCCCTGTCTGTCGCTAACCACTGTTTCCCTGCAGAATCCTACCAACCGATCAGACGGATCCTCCTGCCGGCCAGAACTGCCGCCGGTTCCCTACAGTATTCTTCCAGCTGGCCAGATTCCCCTGCCAGCCAGGACTCCGGCCAGCCATAGCTCCCTCTGTCCCGCAAGTTTTTTTCTGGTCAGCTGCATAAGGGTCCATCTCAGTTGATGTCTCGGCATCCAAACCTAACATTTGGCTCCGTTAGAGTCATGGCGGATTCCTCCAACATCAAGCCTCCTTTTGACAAGGCCCTTGAATCCACCGAAGGATCGACACCTATTTCAATCTCTCCGCACACCGGAGGACGGAAAAATCACATGAATGTCCCGATTACAACCCACAAACTCAACGACTCTAATTTTCTTCAATGGTCTCAAGCTATTTCCTTATTCATCAAAGACCGACATAAATTTGGCCACCTCACAGGTACGATTCGTGAACCCCCGAAGACGGACCCAACATATACACCATAGGAAGTAGAGAATTTCATGGTTTTGTCATGGTTGATAAATTTCATGGAGACCTCGATTGGCTGCTTGTATATGTTTCTTCCTTCAATGAGTGCACACTGGACTGTCATTTGTGACACATACTCGAATGTAGGTAATTTTGGTCAGCTGTACGAAGTTTCGAGGAAGATCCGCGAGGCGAAATAGAGATTGAAGACAATGACCCGTTACTACAACGACACGGTTGCCTTGTGGATGGAATGTGATCTCTATTATGACTACACTTGAGACTCTCATACTAATCTTTCCCTGTTATAGAAAAATTTGCAGAAGGATTGGGTGCTTCAAATTCTAGTCGGCCTGAACAAGGATCTCAATGAAGTATGGGATCGCATACTTGGTCGTGATCCCCTTCAACTAGGGCAACATTCACCGAAATTCTCTAGGAAGAAAGCCGAAGACTTGTTATGCACGACACCTCCACTCCTTCAGCTGAACTTCTAGTGTTGGTCTCCAATAGTACCCCAATACCATGCCACGCCCAAACACACGTGATTTCTATCACAAACATTACCATATTTGTGACAAGTGTTGGAAGCTCCATAGAAAACCAACAAATAAATTTTCGACCAAATCCTCTGTGGCTAAGGGTCTAGCTACGGCCTCTGAATCCACGACAATGCGGCTGACTCCCACTCAGAACATCCAAGAATCACCATACTCCATTAAGAGTCAGATGGAGCATTTAATTAAACTGCTTGAGTCTAGTCAGTTCTCTTTCGGCCTATCTAGCTCTCATGTCCGTCAAGGTAATATTCCTATGGCACTCATTGATTTTGCTTCTACTAATCTGTAGATTATTGATTTAGGTGCCAAGGACCACATGACCGGATAGTCTCAAGTCTTATCAACATATTCTTCGTGTTCCGGGAGAGATACTATTAAAATTGCAAACGACTCCTATAATTTCATTGCCGATAAAGAGTCAACTGTTCTAATAGCCAGGTTGACTTTGAAATTAATGTTACACATATCTTTGTTGAAGTGTAACATCTTATCAGACAGTAAGTTGGCATATGACTTTGATTGCATTGCTCAATTTTCTCCTGATATTTGTCTTTCAGGATTCGTCGTTCAGGAAGGACGATTGGAACTGTTAAGCAGGTAGCCAAACTCTACTTCTTCAAAGAGAAAGACATTGATGATTAAGACACGCCATCCAGTAGTTGCAGTTTTTTTCCAGTCCACTAAATGCCTTATTATGATTTTACATTGTCGTTTGGGTCATTTCAAATTTTAATATTTAAAACAATTGTGTCCTTTGATGTTTACTAATAAAAAATTATCAAGTTTCAAATGTAAAATTTGTCGGCGAGCTAAACATCACCGCGCACCATATCCTCTCCACTCTTACACTCCTTCGGCTCATTTTTCACTTATTCATAGTAACTTATAGGGATCCTCTCGAACTTCGAGCTACACCAATAAATGGTAGTTCCTTATTTTGACTAATGAGCACACTCGGATGACTTAGGTTTATATCCCAAAAGATAAATCTGAAACTGCAGTCATCTTAAAAAATTTTTACTCCTTAATTTGACGAAATTCAAAACTTTAATTCAAGTCCTTCGGACCAACAACAATAGTGAATTTTTTTAACTCCATATTGGGAGAATTTTTGGTAAGTAAGGACATCGTCCATCATAGCTCTTTTTCGGATACTCAACAAAATTGGGCAGTCGAGCGAAAAAATTGACACCTTCTTGAAGTTGCTCGTGTCATTATGTTTCAATATATTGTCTCGAAACAATTTTGAAATGAGGTCATCCTTACCGCCACTTCCATCTCATCAATAGAGTCCCTACAAAAATTCACAACTTCTGGACCCCGTTAGATATCTTGAGGTTGTGTTTTCCTATCAATCTTTTCTTCTCCATTTTACACCCCAAAATATTTGAGTGCATAGCCTTTGTTTGAAACATTGCCCCAACTCATAAAAAACATGATTTCCGTT